GACGATTTCTTGTATTTCAAAAGTTGTGGGTTTAACTTTCACAAACGTGAAGTTGTGGCTATAATTGTCACAAACGCGAAAGTTGTGGCTATAACTGTCACAAACGTGAGAATTGTGGTTATGGAAGTGTATTTTTCCTAAAATATTTTTTAAGTAAATTATGACGTGGCAAGTGAGGCTGAGTTGTCGCTGACGTGTGCGTCAATTTGGCATCCTAGTCAGCGTGTCGTTAACCTAACTAACGAAATTTCTAACACCGTTAAAGTTTGTAACGAAAATGGTTAGATTTGTCAAACAACTATCAAAATCTTAGTTATTTCGTGTATTTCGAAAGTAGTGGCTATATCTGTGACAAACGTGAAAGTTATGGCTATGCAAGTGTATTTTGCCTATATTATATATAACACATACTTCATGCTTTGCATAAAAACGTTCCTCTCGTATGGATCCATAAAAAAACAAAAACAAATAATTGTTCTTATACTATATGTATTCTTGTAAAGTGCATACAACAATATATGAGCTATTAGATAAAGGCAAAATACACTTCCATAGCCATAACTTTCACCTTTTTGATAAATATAGTCATAATTATTGGAAAACACAAAATAGCCCAAAAAATGAATGGTATTGTGACAAATCTAGCCATTTCCGTTAGAAACATTGATGGTGTTAGAAACTCCGTCAGTTAGATTAATGTTTGGCTGACTAGGATGCCAAATCATCGCACACGTCAGCGACAACTCAGCCATACTTGCCACATAAATGCCATGTCATATTTAATATAAAATTAATTAATTAATTAATTAATCAATAAATGTGCATTTCCCTTCGTTGCCGTCAACCCAGATCGCTTCTCTTCGGGGACGGCTTCTCTCCGGGGACCATTGAAGAAGGCCCGCCACCATCTCCAAATTTTGAGATTGAAGAAGACAAAGGTTAATACTTCTCCATGGCTGTCACTTAACCCACCACAAGCCACCCAATAGAATTACAAATTATAATTTTTTGGATTAAGGATTTGCGAAATTGATTAATCGGCAAGGACTCTTACCAATCATCAGGGGGATGACTCTTATCATCTCCCTATAACACTTCTCCATGGATTTCGACTCATGCGGTGGAAGCTCGCCACAAACCCCATCCTCGCCGCCCGAATGCCGTCCTTGGATTCGGATCCAGATCCTCCCTCCGACTCCAACGACGCGGCTACGCTTCTCGGCTCGTCACCTCCTCTATCGATGAAATTCCCCCTAATTTCAGGTTCTCTTCCAAGGAGGTCCTCCGCATCGACACAGTCCTCGACGCAGCCGGCACAACCATGACCACTACTGACGATGGGGGAGTTCAGTGCTGTGGATGTAGGTGAGACCGGTGCTCTGCCTCGTGGCCTGCGATTTGCTCAGGTAATTGGTGGGAATAAGGTTGCGGGTGCTGGGATGAACATGATGTCGATGGCGGCGGTGGCGATTTAGGGTTGCTGGGTAATGGTGGGTAATAGGGGTAGAGGAGTACGGGAGGAAGATGAAGCTTTTCTATTTTCTTTTTCATTTTATTAAATCAAAAATTGCACTTATGGTTTTTTTTTTGTTTTGTTAATACACGTGTCCGACCAAAAATCGCCAGGTCAGCATTTCCGTTAGTACAATCAGACTGTTAAATAACACCGTCAAAAAGATGGACGGAAATGGCTATTTTGTGTTTTCCGATAATTATGACTATATTTGTCAAAAACGTGATAGTTATGGCTATGGAAGTGTATTTTGCCTTAGATAAATATTATATACATCATGTAAGATGAAAACATGAAAAAGAATAGGTGTCAATTCTATTGATTACTGCATTGATTCAATAGGTGTCAATTCTATTGATACTGACGGATCGTATAATCATGCGGTTCCTATCATTTGAATACAAATAGTAATGTTATGTAGGTAACGAATAAAATCATAGAAACGTATAACTCTATTTAATAATGGATCCATAAAAAAACAAAAACAAATAATTGTTCTTATACTATATGTATTCTTGTAAAGCGCATACAACAATATATGAGCTACTAATTTAGATAAATATTATGTACATCATGTAAGATGAAAACATGAAAAAGAATAGGTGTCAATTCTATTGATTACTGCATTGATTCAATAGGTGTCAATTCTATTGATACTGACGGATCGTATAATCATGCGGTTCCTATCATTTGAATACAAACAGTAATGTTCTGTAGGTAACGAATAAAATCATAGAAATGTATAACTCTATTTAATAATGGGTAAATGCCAAGTTTGTTCACTGAATTTATTAAAATGTGTAGTGTTTAGTCACTGAAAAAATTAATATCAATTTTGGTCACTCGAGATACTGAAACATTCCACATTTAGTCACTCTCCGTTAGTCTCCATCCAACTCCGTTAATGGAATCTGTTATGTGCTGACATGACTAACGAAGTCACCTAGTCAGCGTCATTTTGGGATGGGTCTGGTGAAACCAGACTTGCCACGTCATATGCCCAACCCATTAACCCAACTCGACCCATGAACCCAACCCATGAACCAAACCCTAAAATGCAAAATAGTTTCAATGATTCCTTTCTCCTTCCTCCCGATCCCTACCCCCTTGACCCCTTTGTTCGAATTTCTCCTTCGAAGTCCCTCTCTTCCGTTCTTCATCTGAGAAGCAAGGGAATTGCCATCCAAGACACTCTTTCTACCCACTTTCTCTTATGTCCTCCAAGAAGCTCTCTATTTGAACCAGCAAAAGATTACCAATATTCAACACCAATCGCCAAAACCCAGAAAAGAATCGGTACAAATCGACCTAGTAGTCCCGACTATTTGCGTCGCCAATCTCGAGAAGGAGGAACGCTTCTTACTCTGGTTTCATCCATGTATCAACGGAAGGACGATGGAGAGATCGAGACGGAAGTTCTGGGCTCTCCCTTCACGAAACCCAAATCTACCAGAAGAAAGGAAGAAGATGTTGTTGGACGTAAATGTTGACTGTGCCGATTGAGATCTTCAGATGTTGGATATAGGGAGTATTTTGACCGAATCTTAGACGCCGCCGCCACCACTTCTCTTAACTCCAATCGACTAGGACCTAAAAATGTCGACCCACCAAGATGATCTCGACCTTCTTCTTTCACTTCAGGACCAAGACTTCCCCGGGCTCACTAGCAAATTCCCCAGGTAAACCCTCAACTTTCTCCTTCTCTTAAATTCGTCGAATTCAGCTTGAATCGTTTGTTTGATTGAGTTTTGCTACCGGCTTTGCTAAATGTAGGACTTCTATCTGACGCACGAAGAAGAAGGAGGAGGAGGAGGTCTAGGGGGTCGCATGGCTGGCTCCATTCCTCCCTGGTCTCCGATGACTTCCATGAAAATAGAAGAGGAACATACAAGGGATCGGGAGGAAGGAGAAACGAAGAACTGAAAATGGCCCCTTTACTATTTTCATTTTAGGATTTAAGTGTTCATGGGTCGGGTTGGGTTAGCTGACGTGGCGTATTTGCCGACGTGGCAGCTTGGGTTTCATTATTTCCAGCCAAAAACGCCGATGACTAGGCGATTTCGTTAGTCATGTCAGCACATAACAGAGTCAATTAACGGAGTGGGATGGAAACTAACGGAGAATGACTAAATATGGACTGTTTCAGTAATTCGAATGACTATTATTGATATTAGCAAAAATTCCATATATTCGCCTAATTAATGTTGTTTTTGTGGGTAAAATACTTCGGGTGCCACTTAAGTTTGAGAATTGGAGTAGGCATACCACTTAAATTTGAATAGGGCGTCGGGTACCACTGAACTCTATTATATGTGCACCTGATACCACTTAAGTTTACTGTTAAGTGCATTCCGTTAAAGTTGACAGAATATTCTTGGAATATTCCGTTTTCTAAATTTCATAATTGGTCCTTCAACTTTTCTTATTGTAAAAAAATCATTTGGACTTATGAAAAATATTATTTTTTATCGTTTAGTTAGAATTCTTTTTTGAATATTTGATACCAAACCAATTTTTGAATATAAATTTTAGAATCATTTATCATTATAATTATTTTCAATTATCATTATGTGTTCTAATAATTGAATTATTCCATGAATGTTGTAACTAAACAATGTTGTAGCTTTTATAGTCATATTTGCTTTTCTATATTTTTTACCAAATGTTGAAGCTTTTATATTTTGTTTATTACTTGGTTACTTTTCATCTCTTTACATTCTAAATTTTTCAATTACTGAAATATGTTTAATTATTTCTGATTGTGTTCCATTTATCCTTTTTTTTATTTTGATGTACTGATGATCGATTAAGTTCTATTTTAACTATTGTGTTTTGATGAAACTATTTTAAATATTTTTAATGGTGATTCTAATTGAATTAGGGGGGTTTAAATAGATAATCTAATATTTATTTTAAATATTTATTATTATATTTTAGCAATTTATTCTTCTTCTTGATATCCGTTTACTATTTTTACTAATTTATCTATTTTGTTGAAATTTTTTGATTAGTCATTCTAGTAATAATATGTTTAGAAGGTTTTCTAATTATTATATTAGATAAAAAAACTTATTGAAATATAGTTTTGGATGTTTTTAAAAATTTTGGGTATAAAAAGTAATTAAAATTTTGGGTTGGATGGAAAAATAGACGGATGCACAACTTTAATGGTACTCGACGCCCTATTCAAACTTAAGTGATATGTTTATCCCAATTCTCAAACTTAATTGGTATTCGAGATATTATACCCTTCGTATCCCGATTCGATCTAGATCAAAGAAAACATGATTAGGCAACAATCATTAATGATTAATCCTCCTCCTCCTCTCTCTGTCACTCTCTCGTGCCTCAGTCAGAGTCTCGCTTAGGTCTTACTCTTCCGTCTGACGCATCTTTGCTAGACGAAGATCTAAATCGAAATTCTAAATATAGTAAAATAATAAATTTCCAGAACCGTGCCGCGCTGGAGATTGGAAGTACAAGTGGAGAGACAGACAGTCAGACAATACAATAGAGAATTTCAAGAATAATAAGTCGCCGAAGAAAACAAAAACACCGATATTGATCGAATCGCGCTTTCTTTCTTTCTTCTTCCTTCTCCGCCTTCCTCCTTCGGTATTTCCCTTTTTTGTCAGATGAGAAGAAGAAAAGAAAGGAAGTAAAGCAGCAGCAGCGCCCGTCTGGGATTCCTTCTTCTCCATGGCTTCTCTCCGGTTCTTCTTCTTACTCTCCTCGTTTTCTATGCTGGCCTGCTTCTCCTCCGTCTCCGGCGAGGAGGATGACGTCGCCGTCACGCCCATCAATCGAGATCTCTACCATTCAAGGTACAGTTTCATAGCCTTCTCCTGATTCGAATCATAGTTGAGATTTTTCCCGTTTGGATCCCGTGGGAAAAAAGATAAGAGAAATGGTTTTCTCTGGCGAGAGATCTAATTGTCCCGGGGGTTTTCCTTCCTGCCCACCTTGTGTTCGACGTATTGCTACACAGAAAGCAAGAAGCCGCGACATGTGAGAGCAGCATTTTTGTTAAAACGTGATGGTGATATTGTTTCTTTTGGGTTCACTCTGCAGTTCTGATTTATTGGAGCAGATTAATTCGTTGGTTCATCGTCACCCTGAAAAGCTCACCGTAAGTAGTAATACAGTTTGGTTTCCTTTGAGAGTTATGAATCTATTGAATTGCGAAAACTTACTAACTTCCCGTTTCTGGGGGTGTCCCTTCTGTTTGTAGATGGAGACCATTGCCAGTGGGAACAAAGGCTACCAGGCAGAGACGACCGTTGTTACTTATTCCAGAAGCTCGACAAAGGACCGTGATGACCGGTCTAAGTTTCGGATTCTCCTGGTAAGTTCCAAGTGTGGAAAAATGAGGGCTTTCTTGAGTAAATGAGAATCAATATGCAAGTGGGACTAGATCGATCTCAGATCAGTGTATTCTGTTGCTGGTTTTTTTGACAGATGATTCATTGTCTTCCAGAGTTTCGGGCAGCATGGAAGAGAGCTCATTACTACGGAGCTCGCGTACAGGATCTTATCTATATTGAGTGAGGAACAGTTCCTACCTAATGTGGATCGTGACGCTCTCAACAGCACCCTAGACAAGCTTGTCATCAAGGTAAGAACTTCAATCAATCCTAAATTGGGGCTCCTCACTTACGAGTCTTTGAGACTCTTAGGCTTTTAGTTCTGATAAAGGTGCAATAGACCAGGATTCAGTAAGACTGGGATGCAGAAGACGTCTGGAACTTGCTTTGCCGCTTGCTAAAAAGAACATTACTAGCATCTGGCGATATGCTGTCAGTGCCTTACTTGACATTCAACCAAGCTTCTGACAGTGATGATTTGTGATGTGGTATTCAGGTGGTGCCAATGGAGAACTTGAATGGCCGGAAACTTGTTGAGCAAGGAGATCTTTGCGAGCGGAGGAATGGTAAAGCCCCTAAATTTTAAATATTTTGGCATGATTATTTGTTGCGAGACGGAAAGGGCTTAGAGTTTTCGATTTTTGACACAGGAAGAGGAGTTGATCTTAACAGGAACTGGAGTGTTGATTGGGGCAAAAAAGAGAAGGTTGGTAGTACTAGTTTCTAATAGTAGTTCATTTACTTCAGCTGCAGTTTCCATTTGAGGCCTTTTGGCTAATTGTGGTACCTTCTGGGTTCGATTATGTAGGACTATGATCCTTACGAAGAGAATCCAGGCACTGCTCCTTTCAGTGAACCTGAAACCCAAACAATGCGAAAACTTGCCTTATCTTTTGATCCTCATGTTTGGATTAATGTACACTCTGGCATGGAGGTTAGTAGTTATACTGTTTGTTTGTTCCTCAATCCTCGAACATATTATCGACACTTTTATCAACCTAATCGCTTGTTTCCCGTGTTCAGGCTTTGTTCATGCCCTATGATCACAAAAACACGACACCTGAAGGATCTGCTTCACAACATATGAGATCATTGCTTAATCGAGTGAACAAAGATCACTGCTATAATCGTTGTATGGTTGGATCTGGTGGAGGCTCTGTTGGGTATGTGTTCTTTGTTCGGTTCCTTGTAGATTTGTTTGATAGAAACATTTTAACTTGGAACTTGGGCAATTCGCTATTGTGTTTTACCTTACTATTTAAATTATGTTGTATTTAGGTATCTTGCCCATGGGACAGCAACAGATTACATGTACGATGTTGTGAAAGTTCCCATGGCTTTCACCTTCGAGGTCTGTTATATGATCACTTGCAGTTTTTCTGAAGATAAGTATATTCCTTACATTTTTTTATTGATGTTCTTTAACATGTGGCAGATGTACGGGGATTCCACAGCTTCAGCAAAGGACTGTTTCAAAATGTTCAATCCTACTGATCATGCTACCTTCAACGTACGTGATTATGCTAACCTAATATTCTCTCCCTCGATTTTAAGGAACTCTAGATCTGATTCAGGGAATGCCTATGTTTTTTTCTTTCATTTTTGGATTCAGAGAGTTCTCAACGACTGGTCGGCAGCATTCTTCGAGATTTTCAAAATGGGACCAAACCACATGGATGAAGCCCATTTGAAGGCAGCTGCATCGAGCCAGGACAAGTTTGTATCAATCGACGAGTATCTCGATGGATACTTGATGGAGAGAAAGAATAGATATGGGAAGAAGATAGAGGTGTTGGATCTAGGAATGCAGGAAATAAGAACATATTTTAGGCTCTTTTTGTTGTCATCAGTCCTATTGTTGTTCATGTTCTGTTCTAGGATTTCTAAGAGCATGTCTAGCAGACCTATTGTTTCAGCTATACCTCTCTAAGAGACTCAGGTTTGAGAGACAGATTGTATGTTGTATTTGTTTGTTTTTTTTAGTAAGATGATCTTATCTTTGTAATTAAACTTGATGTACAACATTTTTGGCCCTTAATGGAGAATTTGAGTTGTTCCGACACCAGAGGTGCTGGTGGTGAACCGAATCGAAATCAAAATCAGACCAGTCCAAATTGAATAAACTGAGCTTCTGGTCAGACTTCGACGGTCGTATTTCTTTTGATTTGATCAAGTCCTACGTTGATTCAGTCTGATTTTGGTCAGACCATGCCCGGTCCTACGCACTTGAGTTTCCCACTACAATTCTGGTCAGCAGTAGATTTGGAAGCACAAAGATGCATATATATACTTTTGTGAAGAAACCACACGATAACGTAACATCAGCAGTGTGATGAAACCCCTAAGCTGCTTGTATAATACAAGAAACTAAGTAAAGGACGTGCCTTGAAAAGCAAGCTTACATCTTTAATCCAAGAGAGCGGAGCATGAAGCTACATTGACGGCTTTACAAGCTTTGATTTCTCTTGCTTTGGTGCATACTCGGGCTACGTTGTTGTAAGGTACAAGCTTCCTTTCCCGAACCAGAATCCCTGGTAACAAAATGAGCACAGTTTAGCAAGGGGATATAAATTGCATGATGTAATCATTCTTCAGGAACATGATTCCAGCTTTAACTATGCAGTAAGTGTTCATCCACAAACCTCGAGTTGGTAAATAAGCTTGAATATGAACATTCATCCAACATTATGTGAATCTGTCTAATCACCCTGCCTAGATGGTGTGCAACCTTCTGCAGAAAATGTCATAGCGTTTGCTTCAAGTACCGAAGTGCAGATCTCAGCATTGCTTTAGCTTTACCATCCGGTTTGCACCCAGATGAAATCATTTCTTCATATACTGAAGCCACCTGAAACCCACACCATAAGAACAATTTGACATTAGATGCTCAAATCGGAGATCCGAATTGGACAGAAATCTGAATTACGCATTATATGAAGCATTACCCCACTCATCATAGCCATTATTTTTCAGTGAATTATCTTACAAGTACATACAATATACCTTGTCGAACTTATCAGCACGAATCAAAGCCTTCATGAGTGTAGTATAGGTCACCACATCAGGCTTCAAGTCCTGCAGATATAAGCCACAAAATGAAGATGTTATCGACATAGCAAGACAGGCTACACATCTGCCATAACGAAAGTGGATGACCAGGACTAATCATTAAGTTTTATTACATTGTCTGTCATGTACTTCAGTACTGCAAAAGCTTCTGCATCTCTCCTATCTTCGCCAAATGCATTGATCAATGAGTTGAGTGCTAACATACTAGGCTTTAGGCCATCAGCTGTCATGATCTTAAAAGCATTTACAGCCTCTTCAGACAATCCCTGACAGAAATGAAACAGGAGATTTTAGAACATGCTCCAATAACACATTGCAAAGTTGAATAACTAGAGGGGCCAATAGATAATAGAGCTATATTCGTCTTTCACTGCATCAATGAGTTTGAATCATGCAATCAAATGGACCCAGGAGAGAGATATGACTATGGGTATAACATTCTCAGATAGCATATGAGCATTCACATGCCTTTTAAATAATCTCAAGGTAAACAAGGAAGTACCTTTCGTGCATAGGCATTTATCAAGGCGTTGTACATAGTAGAAGTCGGTTTAAATCCCGAAGCTTTCATGTTTTCCAAGCACTGCATTGCATCTTCAAACCTCCCTGATCGGCCATAGATATCAATCAGCGTTGTATAGGTTACAACATTAAGCAACAAACCATGGCCCTGCATCCTCTGCAGCAAAATCTTCACATCATCCCACCTCTCCTGCTGTCCAAATGAATTCACCATGATGTTAAATGTTGCAGCACAAGGAGAGTAACCCTTTTCTATCATTTCCTCGAATAACTCTTCTGCTCTTTCGTGGAGTCCAGCCTTACAATGGCAATCCAGAAGAGTGTTCCATGTGACTGTATCAGGTTGTATTCCTTCCGAAAGCATCCGATCAAATGCAGCCATTGCATGATCGAGACAATTAAATTTCCCAAACGTATCAATCAAGACATTGTAGAAGTGCCTGTCAGGTTTGACTCCAATGTCCTTCATCTCCCTCAAAACCTGAAACGACTTCTGCCATTCCCCTCTATCACGATAAGAAGCCAAGATTCTACTGTATACATAAGGATTCGGCTTCACATTTCTCGCTTCCATTTCCTTCAGCACAACTCTAGCACTCTCCCATCTCCCAGCATTCGCATAAGCATCAACTAGAAAGCCAAACGTCTGTTCATCAGGGGAAACCCCATTCCTCTCCATTTCCGTCACCACGAATTCGGCATCCTTAAGCAAACCCGCCTTCCCATACCCTCTTAACAACGCATTATAAGCTCGAGTCCTCGGCTGCAGACCATTGTCCTTCATTTCCTCAAAAATAGCCTCAGCTTCTACAGTCCTACCAGATTTCCCCAGAGCATAGATAACAGCCACAAGCGTCCCAGTTTTCACACTCAACCCATTCCCTTGCACCATAGCCAGAAACTCCATAGCTCGGCTGGAATCCCCTGCTTTAGCAAACCCTACAATTATGTCATTCGAAAGCTGCACATCGAGCTCAAGCTTATCGCATTCGATTTCATCATAAACCTTCTGCAGAATCGGAGAGTCGATGCTATTGTTCCGAGTCAGATTCTTGATAATCAAACTGTAATTGACGAAATCAGAAGGATACCCGTCCTGCCGCATCCTGGAAATCAGATTCAAGGCCTTCTCGACATCGTTGTTCCTCACGCAGGCGTTGATCAGCGCGTTGTACGTTAAGGGATTCAGCGACTGCTTCCGCGAAAGAAGGAACGCCTCGTAGAGCATCTCCGAGCGCCCTAGCGCGTGGATGAGAATCGAGTAGAGGAGCTCGTACGAGAAGCAGAGATTGTGCCGCTGGAGCCAGGTGACGACGGCGTAGGCTAGTCCAATGGAATCGGGAGACGAGCAGAGGGATTTCAGCAAGGAGTGCCAGAGCGGACCTGGCACGGCGCGGTACGACTCAGCGAGCTGGAACTCGGCCGAGTCGAGCACGCTCGGTGACGTGGATGAGCAGCCGGGGGAATCGGCGGTGGCCGGAGAAGCTTCCGAGAGTTGGCCGGCGAGGAAATTGAGGAGCGGAGTGAAGTCGTAGCGACGGCTCTGGAGAGGAAGAATGTCATCTTCATCTCCGCCCTCGTTCTCGTCTTCTTCTTCTTCATCATTATCCAGACCTTTACTCGAAGAAGGAGAGGAGTAGCGCAAAGTGGCGGCGGCTGTGAGTGCGGCGGCGGCGGCGGCGGCGGAGAGAGGCGGCTGGAATATGAGATGGTGGTGGAGGACTGGATAGTAAGTGATAGAGTTGGAAGGAAATCGAACCGGAAGAAGCGGAGACGGTAACCGTAGCATTTTCTGCGGGCGAGAGAGCGGGGGAAATCGGGAATTCGTTTATCCACTTTTCTCGTCTGGATTTTTTTATCTGGTTTTAGATTGCAGTTTGCAGATTCTTTTTCTGGCTTTCTCTGGCGCGAACGTCGTCGTTTGCCGCGAAGGTAGCCATATGTTTGTATATTCTTTGTTTTAATCCGAATTTTTTTCCACATAAATATGTAACACATTAAATAAATCTCACATCTATAAATTACGGAATATATACATGGTAATCATGATTCTATATATTTATGCATTAAATTCAATTTATCTATTCTAATTGGATGAATTGTTTCAAAATGTAAATTTGAAAAATACATTATTTGGTAGAACTAGGAAACGGTGCGGTCTAATTCAGCGGATCATATATGCGGTCTACGGTCCAGACCAAGAGGTTAGAGTATAGACCATAGATCAGAACGCAAATTATCCGGTCCAGACCAAACCACACCAGTGCAGTCTGGTCCGGTACAGTTTGGTCCAGATAGATCACAGTAAACGAAAAATGAATAATTTAATTAATCAACCGCACAAAAAATTGAACCAATGGGCAAGAAAAAATGTTTTGTTTTCTTAAAACATAAATCATGGAGAATTTTGACACCATAAATCTCAGTAAATAATAAAGATACAAAGTCAAAACATCCCAACTTGCACCATAACGCCATGTACATTTACATAATGTCATATGGAGACATGATTGTCTCTACTCCCTACTCCCTAGTGAAATATGGTTGTGAATGAAGAGGGGAAGAGATTCTCAAAATTAAGATTGAGACTTGGGTATCGTTGTGGGAGTTGGGCGAGTGGTCGAGTGGGTTGCTAAAACATATTGAGAAGTCAGTTGGATCCACGGTTTGGTCCGGTAAACCGCGGTTTAGACCATACCAAGAAATTAAAACATCGTATAATACAGACCATACTTTACGGTCTACGGTCCGAACCAAACTGTGCGGTCCGGTTTGGACCATGATTTTTCAAACGGTCGGGTCTACTTTCTCACCCCTATTATTTGGAGGTTGAATAATTTTGGTGGTCCCACAGAATATGAGGAATACAAACTGAGAGATTGACAATCATCCATATTGAATGATTTTGGTGTTCCAATCTTTTGATCAAATACAAATATTGTGTTTCATTTTAGGACACAAAACGACGAATTCTCATAATTACATGTATTGGCTAAATACTTATATGAAATCTCAACTTTCAAATGACCCCAAAATTAAGTAAATAAATGACTTTAATCGATAATATGCTTTTTGAGGTGGAATGAACGTTTCTTTTAAAATTCCAAAGTCATGCTCACTATGGAGCAATGCAAGGTTGGGTAGCCTCTTGATAAGTCATCATGATATGCAAGAAAAAATCATGCGGGGTTAGACTCAAAGAGAACAATATATTGGTTGGGAAAAGGTTCAAGATGACATAATTGATATTGGAACCTTTAGGCATTCCTCTTGAACGATGGTGGTGAAACCATAACGAGGACGCTAATCCCAAAGAGGTGTAACCCAATACCCATATGGCTCATAATAATTGATAAAATTCTCAACAAGTCCACTCATTATTATTTATAATTTATGGTTTGAACAATCTAACCTTAACTGATAATATGTTTTTAAAATGAAATAAACAATGTCTTATAAGAAAAAAATGGTTGGGATGTTAAGAGGTTAAAATACATTGAGTGCCACTTAAGTTTGAGAATTGTGGTAGACATATCACTTAAATTTGAATAGGGCATTGGGTACTACTGAACTCTATTATATGTGCACTCGATACCAATTAAATTTACTGCTAAGTGCATTCCGTTAAAGTTGACAGAACATTCTTTGAATATTCCATTTTCTAAATTTCATAATTGGTCCTTCTACTTTTCTTATAGTAAAAAAACCATTTGAACTTATGAAAAACATAATTTTTTATTGTTTAGTTAGAATCCTCTTTTGAATACTTGATACGAAACCAATTTTTGAATAGAAAATTTAAAATCAATTATCATTATAATTATTTTCAATATCATTATGTGTTCTAATAATTGAATTATTCCATGAATGTTGTAACTAAACAATGTTGTAGCTTTTATAATAATATTTTGTTTTCTACCGTTTTTACCAAATATTGTAGCTTTTATATTTTATTTATTACCTAGTTGCTTTCAATCTCTTTTCATTCTAAATTTTCTCAATTAGTGGAATATGTTTAATTATTTCTGATTGTGTTCCATTTATCCTTCTTTGAATTTGATGTAATGATGATCAATTAGGTTTTATTTTAACTATTTCTAATGGAACTTCTAATTGAATTAGGGGGTTTAAATATATATGATAATATTAATTTTAAATATTTATTATTATATTCTAATATATTTTTATTTTTCTTTATATTCGTTTACTATTTTTACTAATTTATCTATTTTATTGAAAAATTTTGATTAGTCATTTTAGTAATAATATGTTTAGAAGAAGGTTCTAAGCGCTGGGCGAACAGCCTTGTTGTTTGGGATTGCGCCAGATAGCAGACTTGAGTATTATGAGCCTGAATTCATTGATGGTGCGCTGAGGATTCCGAGGTCGGTGATTGAAGAAGGTTCTAAGCGCTGGGCGAACAGCCTTGTTGGGCAGTTCCTTGGTAGTCCTGCTTCAATCTCTGCTATCAGATTCTGGGCAAATTGGTTATGGGGAAGAGACGGAGAAGTACGTACATCGCGGCTTGGAGACAAGCTGGTTCTATTCCAGTTCCCGTCGGCTTATATATGTCAGTGGGTGTTTGAGGGCGGTCCGTGGCACCATCGAGACAATATGCTATTCTTGAGGAAGTGGGAGCCAGGAATTCAACCTCTTGCGATTGACAACTCGAAAATTCCGGTGTGGGTAAGGATAACTAATCTACCGACAGAATTTGCAAACAAGGAAGGTTTGGGTAGAATTGCGAGTTCGATTGGGCGACCTTTGTGTATGGATATTCCTACGAGAAGGGGCACGAAGCTTGGGATTGCGAAGGTCTGTGTGGAAATCTCTGCAAGGGCAAAGCGGCTTACTAAGCTCGATGTGAAGCCTGATGGTATGCAAGCGATGTGGGTGAATCTGGAATACTGTAATTTGCCAGTCTTATGTGATAAGTGTGGCGAATTTGGTCATAACTGTGCTGTTTCTGAGGGCGCTCTAGTGCAGGAATGGAGGGTTAAGAAAGCAGTGGAGGGTTCTCTGAATCCTGCTAGTGTGGATAAGGGTAAAGCGTTGGTTCAGTGTGTGGATGAGCCTAGTGGGTCTGGTGTAGTTCAGGGGGATGCTATGTCATCTCCTGGTGCAGCGACTGTTGTTAGTATGAATTCTACTCCAAAGAGTGCTGTCATGCCTAATGTGGATGCTGATGGGTTTACACTGGTTGAGAATAGGAAGAGACGATCTGCTCAGGCAGGGGCTTCTGGGGAGAGCAGGCAGCCATTCATGGATGCAACCAATTTCCAGTCACTGCAACAGTCCAAACCAGTTTCTACAGTTTCTAAAGCTCCTCCTCCTCCTCCAAGGGGGAGAGGTAGGGGTAAGAAACGTGGGAAATGAAGATTTTGAGTTGGAATATCAGAGGTTTTAATACCTCTGATAAACAATCAGCTGTGCTTCGTACGTTGAGGCAGCTGAATATTGATATAGCAGCTATACTAGAAACCAGAGTAGTGAAGGATAATAGTAGTAAGATAGTGAATAAATCGTTCTCGGAGTGGTCTTTTATAGCAAATTACAGTAAGTCTAATTCTGGTCGTGTTTGGCTTTTCTGGAGGTCCAATTTGAAGGTCACAAAAGTTGATGAAGGGGAGCACTTTATGAAGATTATGGTATCTGGTTTACACTCCTTCTGTGTTTTGATTGTGTATAGTCCTAATGGGGAACAAGATCGTTGTGTCTTGTATAGGGAGCTGTTGCTGCATAAGGAGCTCAGACTGCCTATGGCTGTGATGGGAGACTTTAATGCCATTGCTGAGGTTTCAGAATCTTCTAATATTGTGGATATCAGTCAGAGTATGTTGGATTTTCGAGGGTGGATTGCTGATATGCAGTTGGTGGATCACAAGGTGTTGGGGGCTTGGTTCACGTGGTGGAACAAACAATCACTAAATCCTATAGCTAAGAGGATTGATCGAGTCTTGGTAAATGAGGTTTGGCTTGAGGAGTTTCCTTCCAGCATAGCTCATACATCTCCGCCAGGTGTGTCAGATCATTGTGGTCTGGTGCTTCAGCCTTTTCCAAAGCTGGCACCACTCCCCAAACCATTTAAGTATTTCAAGTTCTGGAGCTCTCATCCAGGTTACTTTGATATAGTCACTGAAGCATGGGGGACTTCACATAATGGATATCCTCATTATCAGTTCTATGGAAAGTTGCAAGATGTGAAGAGCAGGTTGAAAAAGCTCAATAGAGAGGTCTTCTGGGATATCTCAGGTAAAGCTCGTGAGCTTGAGAAGAAGCTGGAGAGCCTTCAAGAGGAAGTCTTGCTGAATCCCAATTCAGCTAATGTAGCAGCAGAGGCGGTTATGGCCAAGGAATGTCAAATCATACAGCGTGCAGAAGAATTATTCTACAAGCAAAAGTCCAGAGCTCAGTGGGTTCAAACAGGGGATATGAATACTCCATTCTTCCACAAAGCTTTGCGGGTTAGAACTCATAGGCAGCAAATTACAACTTTAAAAGATGCAACTGGGGCTGATGTAACTGATGTTTTTCAAATGGGAAGGATTGCTGTGGATTTCTACACTCAGTTAATCGGGGAGGTTGATCCTAATGTAAAGGGGGCATCAGTGGAGTACTATGAATCTCTCCTGTCCAATAAGGCTACTGAGGTTGATAATCAACTACTTAACAGAGAAATTACAGAGGGTGAGATATATCAAGTATTCAAGCAACTGGGGAGGGACAAGGCGCCTGGGCCAGATGGTTTTCCTATTGAGTTTTTTCTTCTTCACTGGGACCTGATCAAAGCTGATATTTGTGCAATTGTTGCTCAGTTTTATCAGACTGAACATATGCCCAGGAA